GGAATCGAACCAGGAATTTGGTTTATTTAACCTGTAAATTGAATTAAAGGGTCTAGGGGGAGACATGAACCTTCTCCTATACGACTCTGCTACGAAAAAGTTCCTTCATTTCCACCTGCGCAAATATTTTGCCGGGACATATATTCCTTAAATAACTTTAACTGTATCTAACTTACTTACTTATCTTCACGCACAATCCCTGACGGGGTAGCCAGAGAGAACAGATCACCAAGTGTCACGATCCTTACATACCTCTTTCGCTTCTTTCAAATTCATTATCTTCTTCATACATGCACGTCTAGGTATCCGAGTACTCTTGACCCTACCCTCTTCGAGCAATTTGCTCACATGGTCTTCGAAAGTTAGTCTCGGTCTACCTTTACACCTTTTAATATTAACTTTCGCGCTATATATTTTCTTCACCATTCGGTCTTCACTCATTCGCTCAACGTGCCCAAACCACCGAAGCACGCCCTTATCAATTTTTATGATAAGGTCATCTTTCAAACCTGCCATATTGCGAATCTCTTCGTTTCGCTTTCGGTCGGCCATGGTAACGCCGCACATTTTACGAAGAGATCGCATCTCCACTGCATTCAACTTGCTTTTATGCTTCTTCTGGCATACCCAGGTTTCGCTGCCATATAACAAAGTCGGTGGTACCGACTTTGTTATATGGCAGCGAAACACTGCGTTATGTATTGCAAGGCGTGCACTCTTCACTACGCCTTGCCTTTTGACTAACGCAGTCAGGGCACCATTGACTTTGTTCCCGGCAGCGACACGCCTGTCCACATCTAAATCACATCTTCCATTCCGGCTAAAAGCACTCCCCAAGTATACAATTTCATTTACTTGTTCTAGACATTCCTGATTTACCCATATTTCACACTTCGTTCTCTCTTTGTCCCTTTCAAATACCAGAACCTTAGTTTTATTAGCGTTCAAGCGGAGACCTTTAATTTCACATTCCTCTTTCATACACGTGACTAATGCCTGCAGTTCTGCCTCTGATGGTGCAATAAGCACTGCATCATCAGCATACAGCAGACAATTTACTTTTATGTCACCCAATTTCACACCCAAACAGCTATCTTTCAGCTTTTGTAAACAGCTGTCGAGATACAGTATGAACAGCCAGGAAGACATGACACAACCCTGTTTTACGCCCGTTTGGACGCTAAACATGGGTGACAGGTCATGCCCTACCCGCCTGCCTAACTGTATCTAAGCGGCCGTAAATTAAAAAGCAAGCAAGAATAAGAAGCAATTTCTGAAAACTTCGTTTCATATTCGTGATTTAAAATTTTTCCATAAAGCTACGTATATTATAGCTCGTACAGCTATAGAAAAGAAGATTCGACAATTGATTATTTGGACGAGTTTTGAACGTTGGAAAATTTGTTGAGTCCAGTTTGCGAAGATGAATATTAGAACCAATGAAACGATTAAATATTTTATGTATTACTAAATGATTTGTTGTACATTAATTGCTGGCTACCTTCATTACCTTGCTTGAGTTTTGTGTTTGGGTTCGAAGACGGGTTTGAATTCCAAGGGTCAAAGTTTTTTTTAGTAGGAAGTTTGTTTTAAAAGAGTCAGGAAGTTGGTTGAGTTTCAATCCCCAAGCGTCGGAAAACACATAAAGCCGTTAGTCTTGCACTTGATATCTCTCTGGTCAAATTGTCATCCTATCGACCTATAAGAGTAAGTTAATAGAGAATGTACTTATTGATGTATTTTTTAAACAAAAAAGTACTCTAAAAATAAATCCCTATTTAATAGTACTATAGCTTGAATTTAACTCAAAATAACGGTACGTAAGATCAGAGGAAATTTGATTCCACCGTGTAATTGTAGACGGCGTTTCTTTGAGCTAGGTCGTGTTTGTAATTCAGATTTACTTTGTGGGAATGGCAGGTACCGCTATTTGAATTTATACCGTGAACTAGTGAAAGTTACATTTAGGTTTTATTTTTGTATTTTAGTATACGTGATGTATTTAAGTAGTAATTTATTTTCATCCTATTTTTATATATTTTTGATCAAGTTGTAATCACAATGCGGCTTTTATTTATTAAAGTGAAACTTCTGTAGCCGCATTAAACGATTTTTGGTAGGGGAAAATTTATGGGTTCGCATCACCCATGACTTGCTAAGCCATCAACTTGCTAATAACGTATTGCACACAAGCGCAATACGTCACGAGCACGTCTACTACGCGGCCTGTGTACATTTACGCATATATCATTGAGTTTTCACTTCTTTCGCCAGTCCTTATGACTGCCTATATTTTTTTTAATTTTTTTTTTTTTAACAAGGTTAACAAAGGGCGAACTTAATCTCTGTCGGCATTCTCTGCCAGTTAACTCTTACAATGTGTTGAATAGAAATAATTTCCTTTCTATAAGTGAGGCCTCTGTACAGGAGTGGACTTTAATAGACTCTAATGAATTAGTGAACAAGCGAGCAAACTACCCACCTGATGGTAAGTGTGTAGACTGAACCCCATAGTCATCTACATCTATCCTCGATCAAGAATCAAAATGCAAATACGTTGTCACCCCTGAGGACAAAGATGGAATGCCTCGTATCCATTAAAAAGGATATCACATTCTCTACACTCATTAAAGGAAACACAGTAGCACTGAGCTACTTTTTTACGCTGGAATTCTGTGACAGCGTGGTCCATCGTCTGTCAAGCCAACCCATTTGTGCTACAATCATAATATAGCTGAAATATGGCTTTACCACGTACAATAGGAACTAATTGGCTACTACATAATTAAATTTACGTAATATTTCACTCACTCACTTCCATTTTTCATATTGTCTGTTTTTGGAGCATAAAGAGGAAGCTAATGATATAACGCAAGCTATTCCAATCGATGTACTTATCGTCTGATTTCCTGGTGACCAAAATATGTCAGTATATCATTCCAGTTCAATAAACGTAGCTATTATTTACCGACTCAGACATTACCATGTGTTCTAGTTTACGTTCTTTGAGGAAAGAGGTGAATGATCGCGTCAAAATGAATGAATTCAATGAGGCATTCTGTCGGAAGGATTTAACTTAACCGTGAATTATTTTCAGGAAACATTGTGAATGATTACCCTTTTAAATAATTGTGTTTATTAATGAATAACCTAAAAGGAAGTTGATTATAATTATTATACGCTTTATATTATCTACAGAAAACAAAATCCTTCTTATGAGGCAATCTATAGTAGAATTAAATAAATTAAATTAAATTACTATCCTCAGCAGTGGAATTTAATAGGCTGTAACGGTAATGGTTGCATTATCTTGTTTGTATGTGTATGTATGAATTTAATAGGATTTTCACAAAATTTCAGACGTTCGTATAATAATTAATGTACACATCAACCTATTTATATCGAAGGTGTCGTGTATGGTGGTGCAGTGGTATGAGCAAGTGTTATTCTGACGTTCTTATAGAGGGTAGAACTCCTTTTCCGAATAGAAGTTCGTCTGGGTATGTACCACCATCTTACGTTTTTATGTCGCCATCTTACATTTTACATGAACAAATAAGACACATATAACTTTCGTAACTCTTGTAGTTCGTACTTTCCAAAAATATTTGTAATTTATTATCGTGTTTTAAATCGGTCTGATAACCATCAAAATGTTTGCAAGGTAACGCTACAGCCTATACGAGTATATATATAAGCTGTAGTGTTATATTACTCATCAGCATAGATTATCACAGGCCTCCTCTTTTTTCTAAAACAGTGGTTGAGCGATTTCACCACAGCTCTGCTCCAATGTGAGTTGGTGGACTTTACATGTCCTCAAAATATTTTTTCCCTCAGACATGTAGATACGTAGAAATTAGCACATTGTAGTTAACAATTTTACTGCTGGAGACAGAGACCAGATTACTGAAAATTAAAGAGAACGCTTTACTTTGTGTACTCAGTGGTTGACACTTTCCCAAACATACTGCGTAAACAAGCAATAATAAATACTGTTTATAAAACCCGACGGCGTAAAAAAATTACTAGTAATACCTATTATACGATTAAATAAGAACGTTATCAAAGCTTTATTATAAGTTTTGAAAATTTATGCGAGAATGGTCGCTAACCTACATTAAATCGTTATAGATAGATACTAAATTGTCAATCAAAAAGAAAATGACTACAAAAACCTAAATATGATTATCAAAGTCCTAATCAATGACAGCCCATTTTACACGGTGCGTCGACTTAATTTTATTCTTTTAAGCAATATGGCGTGTGGTTGTCACTATATTGAATTTTGATTACTTTCACGTTTAAAATATATATTTCACTGAATTAAAAAGAAGTATTCCACACATTAGAACCAAATGGTTTGCTACAGCTTTTGTAATGCATACAGCAAAACAGTGGAATATTTTGCCGGCGTCTGTCTCTCCTCCTCCTGTAAATGCAATCTGGGCAACTTCAAGGCAAGAGTAAATAGGCTTTTGTTACTCGAAGACAGTGCGATTTAGTATCTAAGGCTTCATCACCACTTAGCTCCAGGTGGTATTGTGGTCAAGCATCCGCTTACTATAGGTAACAACAAAAATATTAACTCATTAATTATCAATACTTATTGTAGCATTTTCTATCAGCTTATCTTGAGTAGAACAGAGAGTGAGTTTTGGGCAGTTAGGTTGACATATGAGTTTAAACATGACTTATTAAAAAAAATACTATTTTATTCCTTTTAACATTTTATAGAGATAGAATGTACTCGTATATTTTTATGCATTTTTATATTATTTATATACGATCAATAGAATCAGGCAAAAATCCGTAAATATATTAAAACTGTTAAAGTTGTTATAAATTAATTTCATTATCAAGCAACTATAAGATTCGCAAAAATAAATCACGGACTATCACTGACAGAGAATAATCGGAGGGCTCTTTTTCATTTGTCTGCACAAAGTACTACGTCAACGGTCAGACCGGAAATATTGCCCATTTTTTTAGAATTAACACTGGGGGAAACATTTTTAATTAAGCATTTATCACTTCATAATTTTGATGATGAAACTCTACATGGTGAATCGCACTTTCTTATCCCACTTTTGCCTTGAAGACACCCATACCCACATTGTAATCTCACGTAGAAACAGACACAGGAAAATTATTTCATCCCTTTGCCGTTTGTTTCAAATGTGTGTAATATCAACTACAAAAAGGGTGAATGCCTACCGATTGCCTTTATTAATACTAAGATGATACTACTGTAGATGCAACTGAATCTAAACAAAACCTTAATGTCTAAAGTTCAACCAAAGCTAAGCCTTTTATAGGTTCTCAGATTTATAATATATTTATTAGGTACACGTAGTTGCCGATATATTATGGTTGTACAGATCCAGATGGAGTGTAATTTTCACCTACCAACAAGACTGGGTCAAGTTTGTGCACAAAATAAGAGGGTCAATTTAGGATACGGAGTATAGTAAGTAATTTACATGAATAGAAAAAGCACGCGGGAAAGATTCCCAAGCACTGTGTTCATCTCTCGAGATTCTGCTCATATAATCATATTATGGTTCGTGGACCCATTAGACGTGAAAGGTCAACTGTCACATGACAAATATATAAAGTAATAGGGTCCCAACGCCGATGATATTACACTATTTTTATGGATGCATGATGAATGCAATTAAGTCCACCATAAGTCTAGTTATCTTATTCTCAACCACAATGCAATCGCTATTAGGGAAGTCTAAACGTCTCCGTCCTCTATATCTTCCGCACCTCGTTTTTTATTCTCTCCGGGCACACAAGGAAAAACTTTAGAATATGAACATAATATTTTAGTACAAATAACAAATTTACGTACGACTCCTAAGGTAAGGGTTACAAACGATCATACAATGCAGCTGCTGGAGAGTGGTGGGCGCAGTCACTAAACATATGAAACACAGCAGCACTATGCTTCTATTTCAAGCTGGCATACAGGAGCTTGTTTTTTCACCGATCGAGCCGACCCATTAGTACTGAAATCATGATACGTTGCAGCGTAAATCTTCCATGTAAGACTACTATACACTATCGTAACATGTAATTTATACTATAATACAACGGTCTTAAATAAAAAAAAATAACTGATAATGAATCAAAATAAATTCTCTACAAAATATATAGCAATGCAAATTCAGCAACGGAAATTGGGAATAGATAAAACTCCTGCAACGTCAAGCACTTCCCTCTCATTTATGATATCGGGACCACCTTTGGCATGAAAATTTTGCTGTGCCAAGAATCTTGGGTTGTTCTTAAAAAAATAGTTTGTGTTTAAAAAAAATTAAATTGACGTGATTTCGAGCTACTCAATAAGTTAAAAATGAATACTCATTTACTCATTCATTCATTCCAAGCAATCAAAATAATACTGCTGAACACAGGCTTTCGTTATAGATTGCCCCATAGAGACATATTTGCATGTTGCCACGCTTGACAGGCGAGCTAGGAACCGCAGTGTTTTTAAATTATTATGTAGCTGTTATCAGGAAGGTGCTGCTGCCTATCTCCTATTTCAGTGTTTCTCTTTTGCCTTTTACGACATCTACGGGTTGGCTTGTGGCAGTGGATCCACTTACTTCGCAATTACATGGCGTTAAAAATATTTTTTAAAAAATACCAAAATTTGACAATTTGTACATAATAACGTTGTATAAAAATCTTATGGCTTCAGATATATGACAGTATAAATATCTTGTTAACGCAAGACATAAAATATTCAGACCAGCGACGTCTTATAAACGTCAATCCACTTGTCAAGATTAATGATGAAGACAAGTCCTTCCTTCAACGGAAAGGCCCATCTCCATACGGAGTGGTGAAAAATAAAATGTAAAAGATCGATGATCAACTGACTTAACAGTGAGGTTTTTGCTTAAAATAGGAAGATAATGGTGAACTCAGTGATTAAAATGTACAAACTTGTAGAATACTCAGTGGAGAGTAAACTCAGTCTGCAGTCTGATCACAACCACTTAGACGTAAGCTGAAATTTATTTACATTTCAAGTACCTTACAAGTTTTCCAGTGAATTAAACATATAAAAGCCAAAGTTTTATTGGAACTTAATTAAAATTAAATTTTATTGTTTTAAAAGGAAAACGTATTGTCCCTGTATTTTTATATTTTGTTTAATAATAAATATATCCATTCTTTTTCAGTACAGTATATTTATTTTTTTACTTTTTATTGCGTTATATTTTAACTTTTTATTGTGTTATTAGTTCTGCTATAAGATAATATGTTTCAAGGTGAGCCATTAATAAGCGGGCATTTCTTATCTCTTATTAACTGATTGATGAAAATGGTGATGAAAACGGTGATGATTTCAACTGCATATGTTTATAGTATTTAACAAAGTTTATTTGCCTACTAATTAGAATATGTAAATTAAAATTTTCCTTTAACATTTAGAGGTCTCGGAGGAAAAAATTGGCTGTACGATGTAGTTATTTTTACTGCTTTTGAGATATAATTTAACGACCGCAATTTTAGTCAAACAACAAAAGAGGTGTATTCATTTTTTTAATTATCGAAGTTTCTTGTTACAGATTAATAAAGAAAAATAAACATAAGAACTGGAGTAAGAATATCACAAATTTAAAATATTTTGAAAATCTAAAAGTGCACGCCTCATGAGCGTTTTTATTTTTTAGTTTTTCATCAAAAGCGCATTTAATTTGTAAAAAAAAATTAAACGATGTTCAATATCTCAATGTATTGCTTATATTTCTATTATGCGAGAAGACTCACCGACGCACAGACCACCGGACGGCAGACCATAATGTTAAAGTTGCAGCCTATTTACGTCCCACTGCTGGGCACAGGCCTCCTCTCATTTCTGAGATGGTTTTTAGGGTAAGGAAATGTCCGCCGCTCTGCCCCAATGCGTGTTGGCGAACTTCACATGTCTACGAAATATTTTTTTTTCTTATTTCTCAGGTTTCCTCACGATGTTTTCCTTCACCGCCGATCACGTGGTAAATCAGCACTTAAAATTGCAATTAACCATTTCATTGATGCCGGCGGGGATCCAGCCCGGGTTGCTCGAGTACTATGAAGCTTACAGCGAGCGCTAACCATCGAAGCTACCACGGCAGACCATGTGTTTTACTAATTACATTTTTTGTTATGTAATCTAAAGTGTTATGTATCTAAAGTGATTGTCGATATTTTTATATAATCAAATTTAAATAAAATAATCTTATAATTCAATATCTGTAGTTATTGAAATGTTAATAACGCTTGGTAAACGTAGCAACTTTGGTAAATATTATGAGACAATATATGGGGAGTCCAATGTTTAGAAGTGGACTTTAGATAGGCTATTATTGTATTTGTAATTTTTCACATGCCCAACGGTAAACGATACTTGTATAATAAGGAAACCTGCATCTGTGTGGAGCAAAATATTTCAAAGTTACAGTTTACATGGAAGCCTACTTTGTATTTTTAAACATAAAAAGGCTATAATTCTAATTGCGGCAGGCAATTACTCAAGCGTGAAACTTCGAACTGCATTCTATAAATGGAATTCTTAAAACGGAATTCCGTTAAGAAGCCTATATGAACTCAGCCGGGGTGATAAAACGTTGCTGGTTGGTATGTTGCCAGCAAAGAGCCATGTGATCTTGCAGTAAGTGAGTAAAATGCTTAAAGATTTAGGAAAATTATTTGCATTAAAAGGAGAGGTCCATAAGTGTGAGAATTTTTTAAAACATAAATGTTTTCAATTGGGCTATCAAATAATGTTATTCAGACCTTTTTATACAACTGAAGTGAAGTAAAGTGATCTTACATTATAAAATACGGCAATAAGCTGTTATTTCGTGAGAGCGTGTTTCTTCCCCGGTCGAGTCGATTCATTCTAATTACAACCATAAGGAAACTGAGCATATGGCTCTAATACATGAGATACCTCTGTAACTTGTAATATAGGTAGACAAGTACTAGAGCTAATTTTCGCAATACACTAAGCTTTTGAAATATTTTCATTCCGTTGCGTACTATAATTGGGGTGCACGAAGCAAACTAGTGTTCGAGTTATACGTGCCTGTAGGATGTAGCGAAATATGTTGAACTTCTTCCTACATAACTCTTATCATGTCTTATAAATCAAAATATAATCATTTAACTAGTATCGATCTGCTCCAGCTTCGCCTGGGTGGCAGCTATTAATGTGGCATTATTTATTAATTTGAATTTATTATTAATAGAAAAAGGGTGACACCGAGCAGACAATCCACCTGATGGTAAGTGGATGCTGTGGCCCATATAGATATCTATATTTATCCTCGATTAAGAATCAATATGCAGATGCGTTGCCACCCCTGAGGACTAAGTTCATCTGCCTGCCCCGTTTCCAGTAAATAAGGTCTCCGGTTCTCTATACTCACCATAGAAAACACAAAAGTATTAAGCTGGTATTCTGTGAGAGCGTAGTCCTACCCCGGTCGAGCCAGTCTATTCATCATCATTCATCATCATCATCATTACAGCCCTTCACAAGTCCACTGCTGAACATAGGCCTCCCCCAAAGAATGCCACAAAGCACGGTCCTGAGCCACCTGCATCCATCGACTTCCTGGATGTCTTACCAGGTCGTCACTACATCTCGTGGGGGGACGCCCTACACTTCACCTACCGGTACGAGGCTGCCACTCGAGAACCTTTCTTCCCCATCGGTTGTCGGTTCTTCGAGCTATATGGCCGGCCCACTGCCACTTCAGCTTACTAATCCGTTGGGCTATGTCGGTTATTCTGGTTCTACTGCGGATATCCTCATTCATAAGTTTGTCACGCAGAGAAACTCCGAGCATAGCCCTCTCCATAGCTCGCTGAGCGACCTTGAGCTTCCTCATACGGCCAGCAGTGAAGGACCACGTCTCAGTTCCGTAAGTCATCACTGGCAACACGCACTGGTTGTACAATTTCGTTTTAAGGTTTTGAGGTATGTCTGACGAGAAGATGTGTCGTAGCTTCCCGAACGCTGCCCAGCCGAGTTGAATCCGTCGATTGACCTCTCGGTCGAAGATGGACTTACCTAGTCGGACTATTTGTCCCAGGTAAACATACTCGTCAACAACTTCGAGCTTAGTGCTCCCAACAACTACCGGCATAGGTGTGACATGGACATTAAACATGATCTTTGTTTTGTCCATGTTCATCTTAAGACCTATCCGTTGGGAAACACTATTGAGGTCATTAAGCATAGTGCTTAGGCCCTCCAAAGATTCTGCCATAAGGACTATATCGTCGGCAAATCGAAGGTGAGTGATGTACTCGCCATTGATGTTGATACCGTATCCTTTCCAGTCCAGAAGCTTGAAAACGTCTTCCAATGCAGCGGTGAAGAGTTTCGGGGATATGACGTCACCCTGTCTTACAACTCTCTGCAATTGGATAGGTTTCGTACTCTGGTTCTGTACTCGGATAGCCATCGTAGCCCTACTGTACAAGCACTTCAACACTTCGATATACCGACAGTCAACTTGGCACCGCTGAAGGGACTGCAGCACCGCCCAAATTTCGACGGAATCAAAGGCTTTCTCATAGTCCACATACGCCAGACATAGTGGCAAATTGTACTCTTCGGACTTCTGTACAACTTGCCGAAGGGTATGTGGTCTATGGTGCTAAAGCCTTTTCGGAAACCGGCTTGTTCGGGAGGCTGGAAGTCGTCAAGTCTGCGCGCGAGACGATTCGTAATGACTCTCGAAAACAGCACGTAGACGCGGCTCAGAAGGGAAATCGGTCTGTAGTTCTTCAAGAGAGCGTTGTCACCTTTCTTGAAGAACAAGACCACCGCACTTCTGCTCCACGCCTCCGG